GTAATTAATTTTCCCCAACAGAAGATTTACCTGTTACGATCCATTGTGTCGCGTAAGTAATTCTCTTGCGGGATCGATTATTATTCACGAGTCATTAATTGTATTGCAACCCCTTAGATATAACAAAGTCACGTCAGCCGACTCGACGTAAGCCCATGCTTACGTAAAACCGAATCATTAAAAATTAATCGTAGTTCTCGGGAGCACACGAAGAAGGGAAACCTTGAACGGCGGGTGATACGCCTTTGTCGACGAAGATTGACAATATGTATTTTGATATGCAAATAAAAAATTATACATAAATTCATAAATTACGAGAAGAAAAAATAATATATCTACAAATATAGAAATTTGATTTTAATGGATTAATATCCTCTTTCAGGGTTTCAGAATTAATTTTGCCCACAATTTAAATAATTTTGTAACTATTTATAATTCTTATTTTGGAAAGAAATAAAGAAATAATTATGCTATGCTATGGTTAAACTAAATGCATAACAATGGTTATTAAGGTTTATTATAAAATTAAAATAAACAAGCATAACCAACTTTTTTTGTAACGATACATGTAGACCCATGTACAAATCAAGTCGAAGAATGAAACGTCACTATTGTGATGCCAATGCAAAGTAAAATTAGGAAATGTTCCAGGTGAGACTTACCCAGCAACGTCACGACACGTGTCATGCAGACAGAATGCGGGATTTTTAACACCATGTGTTTTTTTTCTCAATGAACTCTCTTTGTGCCTCCCTATTGTATTTCAATAACACGACGCGAGTCGCATGGAGCTAATCAAATTAAAAAACCAATCGAAGGGATGTGAAACACTAGTTAATTCTGATTTCTTAGCAGGATAATGATGGAATTTTTTCATATTTCAAACTTTTGTTAATAATAAAAGAAAGATAGCAGGTTTTTATTTGTTTATATGTACGCGATGTTAAATGTAGTTTTGGTACGCTGTAGAATAACATGCAAAATTTGTTTTGTTATAAGTGAATACTTGATTGTATTTTTAGAAATCCTATTTAATGCGCTTCGTAAATTTCCCACGAAATATATTTCCTATATAACTGCAGACTCATTTACAAGTTGAAATAGTCTCTTGAAATGATCGCTATCACATTTTAGTAAAGTATTATTTTATGTACCTGTATTATTTCTATTTATTATTCTAAATTTGTTATACTATTGAATCATAATTTTGTGACAGTTATTTAAATGTTTACCTCCCCCTCTCCATTGTGTTACAATAAATAACTGTACAATATATTAAATTAGTTCGCAACTTTTGTTCGCAGCTGCGCCTCAAAATTTCACAAAGTTATTTGTACCATATATCGCGCTGCTGGCAATCGATCAGCATTTTTTATGCGAAAGGACGCACATGACGTGACGTGAAAAAAATTTGCATGTGTCCTGCTGTGCATGCCACTGACACCTTGCAGCATCGTCGCGTTCAAAACTATCGAAAAGTCATCGGATTGATATTAGACGAGCATTTGCAAGCGCAAACTGCGCCACGCTTGTCGAACCTTGCGTGATCGATGGACTTGCGTTAAATTCTTTCCATAAATACAACAGCCGTTGACACTTGCAAGAAAATATATGAAACATTTTTTGTCACAACTTTTTTAATAGTCAACTTAAAGTATTTTTATAACATTTATATTCTGAATTCAGAATTCTATTAAAATAAAATCTAAATTAAATTGAACAAAGAATCGTTATTTTATTCGCATCTCTGAAATGACATTTAGTTATTTATTCATTCTTTGAAAGAACTTATAAAGATCATTGATTTTGTTAATTCCATTAATAAAATTTGTATTTAATTATAAAGTTAATGATAAAATTAAAAAATTAAAAATACGATGCTACATAATTTTATACAAAATATGCTAAAGTTGTTTTATTGTATAAAGTTAACTTGATCAAAATTTTGCGAAATTAACCAAGAAAGATTTTCGGATACTATTAAACACCCCGCATTTTTTTCTTTTGCCTCTTTTTTTATTGCAACTTTATTGCAATTTGCAATTTTTCTTTTTTATTCTCTTTTCTCCAGAATTTAGTGGCATAGTCTGCGCGTTTTAAGAGAGGGCGGAAAATCTGACTACGTGTTCGACTCATTCCCGTCGCGACTCTTGACGTAACGCGACATATGTTACATGCGTGCGTGAGCGATGTAGCACGCGTTCGCAAACAGGGTTAAATAATACGCCCCGTGTAATTGCACACCGGTACACCATACGTGGCTACAATATGCCGAGCCGGCGTTAACCGGCTAAAGAAGAGGGTGGAGAAGAGCAAAAAAGACAAAAAAAAACAATGACTCCCTTTGTTTTTCTATATCAATCTTTTTTTTATATACTAATTTGCAATTTATTAATTGGTTAACTATAATTAGCAATTCTTCGTTTTTTTTTCTATGTAATTCTGTAGTGCGTAATTTCTTCTGTTATAATGCTGATGACAAGACGAGGAAGAAGGATTTAAATTGATGACGACAAATTGCAAAGACTGTAATGTAGACTGCAATCATACGTAGGCCAAATTAAGAGGCAATTGTAAACCAATCATTCTTTATATTCCTCTTGTCGCTTTATGCGTATTGCGTTGCGTATCAGCTAAAAAAATTCAAAATGAAGACAGAGTACATAAAAATTTGTTCATAGAATTCGTGTGGACGCCGGTCAGACATTAATAAAAAAAAGTGTCTCTCCTTCGGCAATCTTCAGCCACCATTTGACTACCGATCATGATATTGACTGAAAAAAATATGCTTCGTACATGCATCACTAATATCAAAAGATTATTTCTAACTGGTAGTATGTAAAAAGATTTATTCCATTCAGAGAATTGGTTTGTTCTGATGAAAAAGTCATAAATTGAATTGATTAATTTTAAATAACTATTACATAATGCATCGTAGAAGTCTTTTCAAAACACAAACTCAAGTGCTCGCACTCGTATAGAAAATTTTTCCTCAGGGAAAGAGTCAGATTGACCGTCGTAAATTGTTGTCGCGGAAAAGACGGCGGTCATCGGGATAATAAAAATGTTATGACAGACCGAGGCGCTCTCGCATGAAAGGAACCGTGGCTGCCGCTTGGTGCGGCGAAGGGCGGACCATCAAGAAGTCAGCCCTTCCTTCAAAGAGAAAGAGAGAGAGAGAGAACTGATACGTACAGTTCCGGTCTACTCGGGCGTGAGGGTGCGGCAAAACACTGGCATCATCTTCGTCAAGAATCCATCAAGCGGCGGCGGGGCGGCGGCCGATGGGAGCTGGTGATGGTTTACCACCGCCGCCTGGGCGATGCTCTCTACATCGAGGGGCGCTGCATTATTGAACCTGGGAAACGATCAGGTGGCCCGGGCGCCCATCAGGTCCGTGACGGGCGGCGGTTGTAGAGGGGAGAGGTAGGCAGGAAGGCAGGCAAGCAAGCAGGCGAGAGACCGGTAGCCCTGAGGGCCTGCGAGGAGACGTAAAGTCACGGGAAAGAGGGGTCTATGATACCATCGCTGCTGCCGTCGTCATCGAGGGGTTGCTCGGAGGACACGCGACCTCCTGGCTCCTCGACTTTGTGACCACGCGCGCGACAACCCGCTCACTGTTTCTCTCTCTCTCTTTCTCTCTCTCTCTCTCTCTCTCTCTCTCTCTTTCTCTCTCTCTCTTTCTCTTTTTCTCTCTTTCATTCCTCGATTCTGCTTCGGCCATTACGCGAAGCTATGGCGCAAAGGACTTGGCCTGTGTTATTTCACTTTGCATTCCTTATGCCGCTTTATGCTTATTATGTTTTTTTAATGAGCGTAGTCGGCCGCACAATCATCGTTCTTTCTTATCCTTAAGCGTAGTAGGTCTCTACAGAATATTCAAGTCGTTTTTACAATTTTCAATGTTTTTTTATTGAAACATTGTTGGGATGTAATTATACTAGTAAACGAACACTCTTAATATATTTATTTAAGATTGCAATATCAGCTAAAATTCATTCAAAATAAAACACGGAGTAAATAACTTGTAAATTAATCGAAAAATCGTAACTGCTTCATATTTGGAGTAAATCATAAAATAATCTGTGAAATTTTCATCATTTAAACTTTCTTGAATAAAATTTCAGCCATTAAATAAAACAAGACGTCGATTGTGCGATATGATAGAAATAGAGAAATAGCTCGTTAAGATAGTTGGCGGACAGATATGATTGATCGCGCGTTTCCTCTCGCTCGCGTCTTCAATATTATCCGCGTTGCGAACTTAAAGCTGGAAAACGAGCAGCGATCGAATAATGAACAGTGCGAAATCGACATTGTCGCACGAGCGATATTTAGCAATCTCCGCTGTCACGCGTATCACGTCGTGTAATATGTAAAGTAGCGCGGTAGATTCTAGCTTTTTCTCTCCTCTTCCTCTCTTCACCATCAAGGTTGGCGGCGACATTCGCAATATGACGAGAAAGTCGCGTAAGCAAATTACGGATAATGAGGAGAAAAGCGCTTAAGTCTTCGTGTATGCACTTCTCGTCGCATACATAATGTAGCGCAGCTTGTAGAACACTACGTCAATGACTCATCGCAATTGCCGAGGAAGCTTTCTGACTTCGATCGTCTCGACAATGTACATGTTACCACCACGTTGTCACTTTAAAGCTCGACTTTCGCATATCGAGTAAATGTCCGCGTCAAGCAGTGAATTTCGCAACGCGGGTCTATCACCGAAATCTAGCATGCTAGCAAGCGCACGCACCACGTAGCAATTTTAGCAGACGTCTCGCATTCAATCTAGTAGCGAAAAATCGCACCGTGTTGCTAGCCTTAAATTTGCCAATAATTAAGTTGCTACAATTAAGCTATTATATATATTCAATTCTTATCAATTATATATGTATATATACAATGTGTTATTTCAACTAAGAATTAAACACTAAACGTACAGCCAATATGCATAATCTATTATTAATTCACGAAGTTGATTTCAAACAGGTTGGTTAAAAATGGAGGAAAACGGACGTGGGGAAACGCTGTGCAAAGTTTGCGGAGACAAGGCATCTGGGAAGCATTACGGAGTACCGAGTTGCGACGGATGTCGCGGTTTTTTCAAGCGGTCTATCCGCAGGTACGCGAGGTAATTAACTTCTCATCTAATTGAGCCGTTGAATTGTAGAGAAAAAAAACAAATGCTATTTATTGCACGTATCATTGCACGCGAGACATGACTGCGTTTTTTGATAAAAAATATGAAATTTATGCGATATTATACTATAAAATTACTTTGTGTATAAATGTTGAAAACTAACTGATATTAAGAGTTACCTGTGAGGTCGTGTGTGTGTAGGAATTTGGACTATGTGTGCAAAGAGAACGGCCGTTGCATCGTGGATGTATCGCGGCGCAATCAGTGTCAAGCCTGTCGCTTCACCAAGTGCCTTCAGGTCAATATGAAGCGAGATGGTACGTTCTATTTTGACAGCGATTAATTTTCTAAGATAAATGTGCATTTTGAAAATTGGTTGCCAGTGTGTTTTATCTCAAAAAATATTTTTTTTTCATAAAATCTCAAGTTTAATTTGTAATTTTGTGACGGTTGTTTTCGTAACTTCCTAAATTAGTTTCTTCCTCTTCTGTTTTTTTGTTAAAATTTATTTTTAATGATAACACATGTTTGTCTATCATTTCGGCTCTTTTCTTTAAAAAATATATACATTGTGCTGCTCCGATTGCTAGGGCCAGAGAGCGGTACTCGACATGTTTGCGCGGAAATATCCAACAGAGTGGCTGAGCGTAAGAGATGTATTCTACTTTCTGACAGCCGCAGAAGTTTCTGGAAGATGACAGGTCGAACTTTAACAGAATCAAAACGTTTCGGCAGTTGATTGCGACGCGAGGTTATCATGTCTTTTTGTTATTATTATTTTCAAAATAATTTACGATTTTTCTGTTTTTGAGCAAATCAAAATTAAATTGCCGATCAGACATATATCTATTAGAGAAATAACTTTAAAAAATAAATAAAATCTTTTTTCAGTTTGATACAGTGTAAAAAGACGATGATAGAATTGTGATCTTCCATTAAAATTAAAGAATGTTATTAATTTTTTTCAAATTTGATATTTTTCTTTCGTTAACAACATAAAACGACATTAAACAAACACAACATTAAAGCAGTGGATTGTTTGTGTAATCATTAATAATATCGATCTTCGCATGCCATTCTGGATTCAGAATAAACTTTTCATTTTTTGTCGGCACTCTGAAGATGTGCTCGAGCACAACAGAGCTTTCAGATAACGCGTCTCATAGAATATAATAGAATATAATAGAATAGAATATATCCGCAAAGTGTTGTGGGTTTGATAGTACAATGATGTGACGTCTCGCTCGATGGAAAGAAAACGGTCTGGAAAAAGCGAAGTGTCCACATACTCACGTCCATATGAAACTCTATATTTCTGCTTACCCCGAGCGCGACAAGATCCGGTGGTGAGCAGTGTCAGAAGCAGCCTGGCGTTCACAGCTTTTGTAAACACCTTCAGCCCCCTTGTGCGCCGAACGATAATCCAAACACTTGATTGCTGAGATATCAATTAGCGAAGGGAGAGGCGGGAAGGTGGCCATTAAAAGGCCACTGCACTTTTTGAGCCTCTCTTTTCCTTCCCGTGCACACACAATCATATTTGTTTACCATTTTTTTATATTTTTATTATCGTTGCGCACTATTATTTTATTTTGTATTTTAGCAATCGACTCTAAATTGATTAGAAAATATATCGTTAAAAGGACACTTTGCATCTATCACTTCAATTTAAAATTCATTAATTGGATAGTATGTAAAATCGAAATAATAAAATATATAATTATCGAATAAACAATATCGATATAAATATTTTGATTTACATTTCTGTTGTGAACGGAATTTTAATGGTACCGTTGTTTTTAGCTGTGCAACACGAGAGAGCACCAAGGAGTACGTCTTCTCTTGTTGCAGCTGCGAGAAGAACTCCTTCGGGACTTTACGCAGGCATTCCTAACGTTTATCATCCCGCAGGCAGTACCTATCATCCTCTTCTATATCCCGCATTGTTTCCCTTCAAACCTACGGTACCAACATTCACTCCGTCAGTTGGTAAGTAATAAATGTATTATTAAATCGGTATTATTTTTTGTAATAAAGTATTGCGCTACCTTTCATTAGCCGCACATTTCTTGCCACGACCGTCTCCAGAATCCTTGTCTATGACGAACGCTAAGGAGGACGAAGTTACCAGCTCCGAAGAAGCAGCTACTGTCGACGTCAGAATCGAATCGAAAGGTATAAATTAATTAATATTTTAAATCTTTAACCCTTTGTGTGCGCTTCGAATTTCACGCAACGTTGACAGTACTTTATTTGCCGTAGAGTTGATTCAAGCGCATACTTATAATTTGTATTACGCATCTCATATTTATTAATTAATGTATTAAGAAAGAAATATCACATAACACTTTTTTTTATAATCAATTATTGTATGATAACTCTTAAAGTCAACCAGGTTGGCACTTGGAGCGCAAAGGGTTATTACTTATGTTATTATTTTTTTTCTGTTCGCATATGTAGTAGAAAATCTCATCAAGTTATTTTTCTCCATTTGTTGCAGAAGAATTGGCGAATACTCGTCTGGCGCCTCCAGTTATCACTTCCATCCCGTCGGAATATACCGTGCAAAGCTTATCCCTTCTGCCGACCGAAAATATCTACGAGTTCGCGGCGAAGTTACTTTTCTTTGCTGTGAGATGGGCGAGAAGTATACATTCCTTTCTGCAAGTAAGCAAACATTTCTCTTATCTTTTAAAATAAAATATAATAAAATTAAGTAAAAAGAGCGATAAATAAATTGAGCATTGATTAGATATATGTATAATATTAACTGAAAGTTGTTAAAATCTAAAAAATTTGTTGTTTATTTTATACTAAAATATCAAATAAATAGCTTTGAATTATGTGCGGTGTTACAATGTTACTAAGATCAATTTTAACACTTTTTGATTCGAGAAATCTACGAAAGTTTTAAGATTTTGCCAATATTTTTCTATTCTTTAGCAATTTAAAATAATAAAATTGCAAATTAATTTTATACTCATCATAATATTGTTCTTTCTTGCAAGCTCCCTTACAGAGATCAAACTATCCTTTTGGAAGAATCGTGGAGCGAGCTGTTTGTACTGACAGCCGCGCAATGGAACTTTTCCGTGGACGAAACCACCCTTGTACCCGTAGATCTGCCGATGGAGCGAAGGGAAATTCTTGTCGATAAAGCGAGAAGATTGAGAGAACTCTTAACAAAATGTGCTACCTTGAGAGTGGATCATTCGGAGTACGCTTGCTTGAAGGCCATAGTTCTTTTCAAGCCAGGTGAGCAATATTATTCATGAATTAAAAAATATTCTATAACTGTCGTCAGGTCGCGCCTGTTTATACTTAATTCACTATTTTACATTCACATTTTATACAAATATATATAGTATATATATTGCGCGATATATACTTATATATATATATTATATAAGCTCGTATTCTGATAAAAAAATATGCATTGTCTTATACCTAATATAAATTTTGTTTAATCGATAAGATGTTGATAAATTAAGTGATTTTCTAAAATCGATTTTGAATTTATTTAGTTGATTATAAAATTTGTGATGTTTATAAATTATTTTTGAAACATGTTTTTTAATCGCTCTCGCAGAGTCGCGAAACCTCTGCGAGCCAGGGCGAGTATCGGCATTGCAGGAGCAAACGGTCGCGGTTTTCTGCGAGAGGGATGCGCGCAGGGTGGGCCGACTGTTGCTGCTTTTACCACCGGCGCGTGCACTCTGCCGCGTTACCCTGCACGAGCTCCTGTTTAAGCCGACGGTCGGCGATGTCAGTGTGGAACGATTGCTGGGCGACATGGTCGGTGCTCTCAGACCCGTCTAACTATTGTTTCCTTGTAAGCAAAGCAAAAATTCGAGCCATCGATAGTCGCAAAAAATATCAACATTTTTTGCATTTTAAGCGATTGTGGATACAAAAAATAGAATTTATATTATCCTTATTTATATTATACAAAATAATTTGATTGAATTGCTTTATTTAAGAAATCGATTTAAATTATTTATTTTCGGAAAATAATCAATGTCAAAATGTTTAAAAAAAAAAAAGGATTATCACTGGAATATAATCGTTTTTAACGCGATGTCGTATATAAATCGCATAACGGCGTTAATTACTCTGGTTATCATTAAAATTATTCAAGATTATAAACGTGGCAGCAGGCAATTATTGTTATTGAGATCGTTATTATTAAAATAGGATACGAGTTGTTGATATGGAGATAAATGAGAAAATGAGGAATCACAGAAAGATGAATCCTATTTTTATTTCCATATCTCAGAATATGAGATTGAATAATATCCTAAGATATCGAATCTAGTCCAATTGTAGATTTCCTGCTTCTTTCTAAGATAATATTCTTTGATGAACTAATCTTCAGTTAATCACAATGAATTAAATATTTTTGCTTCATGTATTTTGTATTATTTTATTTATAACCAAGATTATAATCTAGAAGAGAATCTATCCAAGTAAAGTTAATTAGCTTTGTGTGTCTAGAAAATTCTAGATTCCAAAATTAATAATAGATAAAATGGATAAACAATAAGGTAATTCTTGTTGCAAACTAGCTTATCGAATTATGATACGTCGTATTCGTGCCGATAAAATACGTAACGGAGTGATACATATAAAAGGGTGCTGTCGATAAAATGGAATTTCGTAAACGACAATTTTCCTGACTGGAGTATTGATTCGCAATAGGTGCAACCATCAAATACACACCATTCGGGTTTGAGTGTCAATTACGTCGATTCTTTACATCTTCTTTGTATGTGATAGATAACTATATATAAACGGGCTTTACGCAATGTAATATTTATGCACCTTAATTGAATGGCATATGTACATAACTGTCCAAGATATAAATAGTGACGTCGATCTGTAATGTATCGTAAATTCAATGTTATGTGCATTAAAGTGGACGGAAATCTATATTTGTGTAATTAATTATTTAATGAATCGATCAAAGATTCTGTTTATATTTCATTAGTCCAGCTATTAGTCAGATATATCTTTGAACAAAAAGAAAATAATTATAATTATCTTCATGTAGTGTTCACTTTTTGCTATCTAAACCGAAAACTACTGTTTTATGATAATTAGAATAAATTATTTTAGAAAAGATATACTTTTTTCCGTAAATATTTTTGTGCAGACTGTTTGATTAATGTAACTTTCTTATATTAACAATTTAAATTAAAATTATTGTTATAATACATATTTCAAACAAGATACTATAAAAATCTTGATCGCGCTAATGTCATCTCTGTATAATATTAATTCGTTGCGCTAGATTAAAGACTGTTTATTGCAATCAAATTAATATTATTAACATTATTTTTAAAAGTTACTCTCTTTATGATAAGCGGAGATCAAGCTTTCTTAGAAAAGATGTATTCATTTTTTTTCTTTCCATACATTTCTTTATAGAAAGAATATGTAAATGATATAAATTCTTTCGTGCAATTAAGAATTTGTGTTTAAAAGAAAAAATTTATTACAAATAAGGGAACATTAATTAAATATCTATTAAGTAATAGTTAATGATCATTTCTCGTTTTTATTTTAAGATGAACTCTACAAGAAATATTTTACCAGTATTTTTTAACGACTTACTTTAGATTTAATATTCAATTTGAGCTCATTTCATAAATCATAAAAAATAAATTCAAATAAATGTTAGTTAAAAAATTAAATAAAAATAGTTACATAAAATTATTCACGCAACATCAGAAACATTAACACGATAATACTAATAAAAAAAAGATGATGACGAGAGGACGGTACACATACACACATAGATCTTTTTTTTATTAACTAGAATAATTTATTTTTTCTCATGGTAGAAAAAGGAGAATGTATCTTAACTCACGAACTGCATTGTACTTATATATATACAATTACATACAATCCTCAATTGAACGTTACACATAAACTCATTACACATCGATTTCTCATTACTTCCTTGTCCTCGTGAATGCGTTCCCGAAAGAAAGAACTGCTCGCTATATTATCCGAAAATATGGTTGGCCATAGTTTCGTGGTTCTTAGCACGTGGGGAAAGTGATTCCGAATGCAAATGTCATTGTGTGTGGTGTTGTGTGAACTTTTTTTTTCTTTCCGCGCGTGAATTGAGAGAAAGGAGACAGAGGGAGATGGTAGAACAGAATTCACAAGAGGGAAAATAGAGAACTGTGAAGAAAGTTTTCGTACGAAGAAGCTGCGCGCGTATATCTGTATACGTGTCGTATATATCTGAGATTAAGTGTGTGCTCACGTGCGCGTGTATGTGTACGTGTGTGTGCTTGCGGATGGAAGGATTTTCGGATGGGCGCATTCCCCGATAGGAGCATTTCGTGACGTGACGGAAAGATTTCGAGGCTCTCATTAGTGTTATCTCGTCAGCAGGTATTTCCGTCTGCCATAATCGGCGCATTAACCATTTTCGTTCGTGTGTAACCATTCTCAGACAATTAAGATTATTAATAGCAAGCGGTATAGCTGGAAAAAAAAAACGAAACATACTTGACCGAGCTAAACGATGGACTGAGAAGTTGTCGATCACAATTTTTTATGTGACAGAAATACATTTGAATAGAGCGGTATATATTGAAACAATTGTTCGCATTTTTTTAGATATTTTAATGCGATATCTTGAAATTTTTTATATAAAATATTTTAAAGTCTACAGAAATCTCTATTTCTTTAAAAAAAAGTTCAAGTTTTTATGTAAAATTAATCAGATTATTATAACATATTTTTGTTAAGGATGTTTTATCTATTTTTGTTCAAAAATTATTTTTTTTTTAAATTATAAATTATGTAGAATTGTTTGTACACCGTTCTCAACTTCAAATGTATCTCTCCCTCACTTCCGTTCTGCCCCGATTCTTGCTCGGTTATTTTGGTCGTGTCTCTTCCATCGTTTTTAGCATTAAACCGATATTACTTGTCTTATGAACAAACGAACAAACAAAGAAAAAAACCAGAAAAGAAAGAAGAGATTTCTCTTCCGGAAAATATACTGAGTTTACCTGCTCTTTTCCGTGATCCGTCGGTCGCTTTTTTTATCATATACATATATATATTTATATACTGTACTCCTTAGTAGCATTTTTTTAACGCGCTTACATTCAAATAGACTTTTATTAGAATTACACAGTTAATGATTTGCAATTAAACCTGATTCACCTGCGTGTGCCCGTTATTTCCTCGTTCATCCATTACACTCTCACACTCTTTCTCTCTCTCTCTTTCTCTATTTTTCCTACGATAACCACAATTTTTTTTTTGTTTTTTTGCTTATGTGAGGAATTGTTCTCGTTCTCGTTCGCCAATGCTCGTTCACGCGCACGTTCTGCCTCGATCCTCAATTCTGTCGAATCAGCATCAATCGGTGTGATTGTAACAATAAAGCAAATTAAAGTCATTAACAAATGATAACTGTCTATATTAGAAATAAGAACACGGAATATTTACCGCTGTTGTGATTTCGTCATTAGATTGTATCGCGATGTAATATTTTTTGGCTCATGTCATAATTCAACAGACATTGTGCAATTTTGTTAAATGCAGGACAATAATACAGTGTCTAAAATGCATCTAAGTTTTTAAAAACGCGCGAAATTTCCGCAATTTTTCGAAATAAGATCAATCGAGGATCGGAGGCTCGCAGGCGCGTCAACGTTACAAAAAAAGAAAAAGACGCGTGTACATCTGTGTTAGCGTGAATCTCTCCTCTTCCTGTTTCACTGTCGTTAAACGCGCAACGAAATATCGTCGACGCTGTTTACACTTCCTTTTTTTTTTAATTTTTTCTTTTTTCACAAAAGAATGAAAAAAATGAGACAAAGAACAACACAACGGCATTTCTTACTATTCCCATCCTTCATTTTAACACTAATATGTAAAGACAAAAAACTAACAGATTTCGGCGTAATAACAAATCGCCGTTAGCCAAAGATTCGGTAGAATTCCGGGAGAGCGAATTCTGACAAAGATTTTTGGGACATCTATTCCCTTTTTTTTTTTCACGCGATGAAGGTCTCCGCCTTCCGCGGCTTTTTCCCGGAACTTCCGGACGAGTTGGCAAACAGCGAAATATAACAGGTTGTCGGCTCTGACGATCGTCATTACGGGTTCTCGATGGTCTCCTTCATTTTGAATCGCAATTTATCAGTAATTATAATTATAGATATATAAATGTATCTTTATGCATAGAATTTTTTCTCTTCCTCTTGTTCTGAAAACTTTTAATAATAAAATATTCTCACAATCTTCTTTTTTCTTTAGAGAAGTACAAAAAAGATTTTTTCTGTCATTTTTTTGAGAAAAAGGATTTTTTTATCCTTCTTTCTCTAAAGAGAAAAGAAGATTTGTTGTCATTTTGTTAAAAAATAATAGATTTGTGAAAATTTCCGGAGAATTGACACAACTTCCAATATAAGCGCAAAAAATTTGGCAGTGATGTCTCTCCTTATTAATATTAGTTGCATTTATAATTCATTTTCTGCAGTTATTTTGTAATTCAGAGTACAACATTCAGTCTCCGGAATTCCATGATAATATATCCGATTCAATTATATGAAATCATCGCTTATCAAAAATATTCACATGATAATAAATTCTATAGAGGGTAAAGAAAAAATTCTGCGATTAAAAATGTCGGAAATTGTCAAGAAAAATCCGCAACTTCGGCGATCTTATACTATATACATTCGCGAAACGGAGCACACCGAGGAATGTCGACGGCCGAAAAAAAAAGGATATATCGACTTCCCAGGAGTGCTGCATTCCCCCGACAGAGCACGCGAACGCAATAATCTATTATCTCATAATTGTTTATCATTGTTGCTACGCTCGTGTTTCAATCTC